ACCAGCCTGCTCTTGCCTGGGGCCTGGGGCTGCGGGGTCGTGCCCGCACACAGCCGGGTCCCTGTGAGGCCTTCGTCCTCGATGAGCCTCCGCTGCTTCCTTCGGAGGCTGTTGTGAGGGCGGAAGGGGTGGTCCAGGTGAGTGGCGGCACCCACCGCGCGCGCTACAACGTCAGGTGCGTGGTGTTTGGGAAACGAGGGAGAGGCAGTGTGCGCAGGGTTGCGGGAGGCCACTGCGAGCCAGAGCTGTGTTGCTCAGGCCCTGTGCTCTCTAGCTGAGAGACGGGAACTAGGGGGCCCGCGCTGTGGGGCTGGGACCAGCTGGGTCCTGTGTGCCCCTGTGTGGGCCGTTGTGTGGATGGCACCCAGGCCCTCCCATCCGGGGGTGCATTGTTGCCCAGTGTCCTCCAAGCGTACATACTGCTTGGTCATTATCTTTTTTTTTTTTTTTAAAGATTCCATTTATTTGAGAGAGAGAGAATGAGAGAGAGCGAGTACATGAGAGGGGGGAGGGCAGAGGGGGAAGCAGACCCCCCTGCTGAGCAGGGAGCCCGATGCGGGACTCGATCCAGGGACTTCAGGATCATGACCTGAGCCGAAGGCAGTTGCCCAACCAACTGAGCCACCCAGGCACCCGGTCATTATCTTTTTTAAGACTAATTTATTTTAGAGAGAGAGGGAGAGTGGGGGGAGGGGCAGAGAGAGAATCTCAAGCAGACTCCCCGATGAGCCAGAGCCCGACACGGGGTTCCATCCCGGACCCTGAGATCAGGACCTGAGTGAAATCAAGTCGGACTCTTAACCCACTGAGTCCCCCAGGTGCCCCGCGTTTTATTTTTTATTTGTTTATTATTTTTTTAAAGATTTTATTTATTCGACAGAGAGAGACACAGCGAGAGAGGGAACACAAGCAGGGGGAGTGGGAGAGGTAGAAGCAGGCTTCCCGCCGAGCAGGGAGCCCGATGCGGGGCTCGATCCCAGGACCCTGGGATCATGACCTGAGCCGAAGGCAGACGCTTAACCGACTGAGCCACCCAGGCGCCCCACCTTGATTATTTTTTTTTAAAGATTTTTTTTTTAAATTTATTTATCTGAGAGGGAGAATGGGAGACAGAGAGCATGAGAGGGGGAGGATCAGAGGGAGAAGCAGACCCCCGCTGAGCAGGGAGTCCGATGCGGGACTCGATCCCGGGACTCCAGGATCATGACCTGAGCTGAAGGCAGTTGTTTAACCAACTGAGCCACCCAGGTGCCCTGATTATTTATTTTTTTTTAAAATATGTTTTGTGTTGCTACTGGGTTCCTGGCTGTCCTTTTTCAGTGAGTGGGAGAGAGTGTATGTGAACAACTGGCTTCTGTAGGTTAAAGTTTTGGAAAAGGATGTTTTCAAACATTAAAAACACAGATAACTGAAGATCTTGTGCTTTGTAGAATAGGGAAATAGGCAAATATTTGTTGCATTCTGTAGGCAAACACTTGTTTTAGTCTCTTTTCATAGAAAAAAGAAAAATCCCATACAATTTAAACCAACTTAGAGTTGTAGGAAATGGGCTATGGGGAAAAATGAGGAGATGTAGAAGCCCGAGGTTGGTCTAACAGGCCTGGCAGTGCCTGGCTGGAGCTGCGCCCCCCAGACACACACACAGGCTGGTGCAGCGCCTGGCTCGTTGGTCCTCGTCTGCCACCCTTCCAGAACATTCTGTTCCCCACGCCCCTCCCACCCTCCGCAGCAGCAGGCATTCCCTGTGCCCCGTTGATTTGCAAACTAGGAATTTGGTTCTGTAGTTGAGATTCTGAATTTTTGGCTGCTCATGTGCTCTGCTCACTCTGTCTCTGTGTTGCTCGTAGGTATGGGGGAACCTTTCAGAATGTGTCTGTTAAGCTGCCTATCACACTCAACAAATTTTTCCAGCCCACAGAAATGGCTTCTCAGGATTTCTTTCAGCGTTGGAAGCAGCTGAGCAGGTGAGTGATGGGACGTGGAGTGGGGGCAGGGCCGGGTCCTCCCACGCTGACCTGGCTCAGTGTGGTGACTGTTGGTTTTACCTCCCAGTCCCCAACAGGAAGTGCAGAACATTTTCAAAGCAAAGCATCCAATGGACACAGAAATCACCAAAGCCAAGGTAAGGCCTGTTGATGGGTGTTCCCAGGGTTGGGACGCTGCCCGGGGCTCTGGAGGGAGGCAAGTTGTGTTGCTCTCCCTCCATCATCCCCGGTCTCACTGCCCTCTGCACCTGTCTCTCTGTGACACAGATCATTGGGTTTGGTTCTGCGCTCCTTGAAGACGTTGATCCTAATCCTGCAAATTTCGTGGGGGCTGGCATCATACACACCAAAACCACCCAGATTGGATGCCTACTGCGTTTGGAGCCAAATCTACAAGCCCAGGTCAGACTTCTTGAGGAGATAGCTGTATACGCCCGAGCTGTGTTCCGGTTGTGGTGTGATGTGGGTCCTAAGTGGAGTCGTCTGAGGAGTTCTGACGTGTCCCCTGTGTAACCTCCACCATTCTGCTGATACATAGAACATTTCTGTCACTCCAGAAAGCTCCCTGGGGTCCACTCTCCCTCCGGCTGTCTTGACCTCCTGTAGAGACCGCCACCACGGGGCTGCCGTCCGTCCGGCCCGGCCCTGCGCTCCAGCCCTCACCCTTGTGGTTGTGCGCGTGCACGATTGGCTTACCTAGTCCTGTGGACGCACCCCTGTGCCCGGCCCGTTGAGTGGAGCCACTGCTCACCTTCGTGCGGCCGTCTGTCTTCCCTTCACTTGGGAAGCGTCCGGGATGGAAGTGCAGGCTCCCGGGCTCTGCGCCCTGCTCGTGCTGCAGAGTGGCCCCCAGCTCTGTGCCCTGCCCGTGGTGCGCGAGTGTTCCAGCGACTCCACTCGCGGGCTGCCACTAGTTACTGTCAAATTTTCTGTATTTTAGCTGCTTGAGAGTGTGTTTGCGTAAGTCTTTGTAAAATGCTGGGGCTCGGTGCCTCCAGGGAAGCTCTGAGCAGGGGAGCTCGAGGGGCCGCCGGCTGAGGGCTCCTGAGCCTGCGTGCGGCCACTGACCTGCCGTGTTCTGTTGCAGATGTACCGACTCACGCTGCGCACAAGTAAAGAGACCGTCTCTCAGAGGTTGTGTGAATTGCTGTCAGAACAGTTTTGATCAACGAGGATGGAGGATCAGGCTCCTGTGTGTTGCATTTTTCTTCATCTCTGTCATTTGTCTTCACTGCCGTGCTGCAAATAAACAGCCCTGTCTACAGGCGTCTCTCAGCCTTGCTTCTCCAAACCAGATCCCTTTTGGGTCGGCATGGGGATACCAGTTTGTGTTTAAGAACAACAGGCTGAGCCTGCACTGCAGTCGGGTCAGAAGAAGGGAGTGTGGGCCCCGGGTCAGTGTTCACAGAGGTCAGGACAGTTCTGTGCATGATCTCCCAAGTAAAGGGAAACGACAAGTTTGATTGAAAAGGCAGATTTTTTTGAAATGGTACCAAAACGCTTCTGCTCTGTTGCTGATAGTTCATCTTTGCTTCTCTGAGAGAAGCAGGAGCAGCTTGTCTGTAGTGGGTGAGATCTTCACTAGGCCATTTGGCTCCTGTGGTGGATGACACCAGGTGCAGGAGATGTGTGACAAGGCCCTTGGGCTGGTGCGATGTGTGCGTGTGCGGCCTGGGTGCCATCTGCAGGGCCCTGGGTGCGGGAGCACCATGCACGTCGGCTTGCTGTAGCGTCCACTGGAGGAGTCTCGGGGGCACGGTTTGAAATCTAGAAGTTGGAAACATTTTTCATGACTACCAACAAGACCATGTGTATTGACTGGGTTGAATTCTGTATTCCTTTTCCCTGCACTGTGGTGTTAATGGCATATGGGTAGTGCTGAGCGTTGGAGTGTCTGAGGCCTTGGGTTTGTGGCACGGCGGTGGGCGGTTGCTGCTGGCCCTCGAGGCTGTGTGGCCAGCCTCACTCATCTTTGGGCTTCCAAGAAGTGCGCCGTAACCGTAGTCACCTTGGACTCGTTCCTGTTTTTGACCAGAGGGTTACGTGTGGGCGGCAAAGCAGATTCTGGAAGGGACGTGTGAGACCTTGTGTGGGTGGAGGAGGGGCTCTGTGTGTGGTCAGGGAGCCGAGAGCCATGCTGAGGGTGAGCTGGAGCCCAGCCTCCGTGTGCTAGTCTTGGCCTCGGCTCTCATGTGCCGTCACTGTGAGCTGCTTGCCTGGCCGCCCGTCTGCACCCTGAGGTGGCCGGGGCAGGAGCAGAGCTGAGCCAGGGCCTCTGTTCTGTTGGTGGGTGGCCCCAGGGGGAGCCAGGGTCTACTCTGGGTTCTCCTGGCTTATCAGGAGGAATTGGGTTCCTCAGAGGCATGCCATGGGGGAGCCCTGTGGAGTGGCCAGGGGCACAGGGAGCCCTTTGCTGCAGTGTGGGTCTCGGGGAGGTAACTGGAGGGAGTCACAGTCTGGGTGCTGGTGTTACTGCAGAGGCCAGCACGCAGGGTCCTGTACCTGTCACTCTGTGGGTGTGGGTTTGGGGGCTCACAAATGCCCCAGGTGTGTGGGAGACAACACAGGCAGAGCTCACGGGCCAGCCTCTGTGCGTTGAGCAATGCTGGTTTTTTTTTTAATTTTTTTTATTTGAGAGAAAGAATGAGAGAGAGCATGAGAAGGGGGAAGGTCAGAGGGAGAAGCAGACTCCCCGCCGAGCAGGGAGCCCGATGCGGGACTCGATCGCGGGACTCGATCCCGGGACCCTGGGATCATGACCTGAGCCGAAGGCAGACGCTTAACGACTGAGCCACCCAGGCGCCCCCCAGCCTGCTGGGCTTGGCCAGGGCCTGCAGTCCCTGCCTGGCAGCCCCCTTTCCTTCAGGTGCCCTGGTAAGCCACGTGCGAGGGCTCTTTGAGGCTGTGCCTTATGGAAGGAGAGGGGCTGCCAGGCACAGCAAGCCAGCGTTGGGAGGAGTGGTGGGGGTAGTGTGGGAACGGTGCTTTGTCCTCACACCTGGGGGGCTGTGTCCCCTAGTCCCCACAGCGCTGTGGGCTGCATGCACAGCTGCTGAGCATCTGTAGCGTGAGCACCAGCTGCTGGCCCTGCGCTTCAGGGTCTGAGCAGGGTAGCACAAACTGCTTCTGGTAGGAGCTGAGTGGGTGGCAGCAGCTGCAGTGGGTGTCCACCTGATTCGTGTGGGTGTTGAAGCTGCAAAGAAGCCGGAGCCAGGAGTGTGGGTCAGGGCCACCGCCCAGGGGTGCTCCTGTGTCTCCTGGACCACTCCAGAGCGAAGGGTGGGTACTGAGTCCCAGGCCGGCCCTCAGGGGCGTGCCCCACCCCTCCAGGCCCTTGCTGACCTCCCCAGCTCTCAGGCAGTCAGCGGAGTGTCTGCCTTTGCCTTTGCAGACATGATGGAGGTGGGGTGCTGGCTAAGGCTACCTGACTGGGTAGGATGCTGCCTGGGGCCAGGAACCTGCTCTTGGATGGGGCAGGCTCCAAGCTCCGGGCCCAGCCCTGTTTAGAGGCTGCTTGGGACCAGCACTCACCTGGCCGAGGAGGGACAGAAGCCCTCGCAGCGGGTCACTGTCACGTTGGCAGTGCACCCTCGGTACGTGACCTCCTCCTCAAGCTCCTTCACGTCGCAGACCCCTGGGAGATGAGAGAGGTGTGGTTAGGTGCCAGCTCCGGGGCATGGTTGGAGGGCTGACACAGACCTGACCCTGGGGACAGGACACATAAAGTGGGGATGAATGCAGTTCAGCTGAGTAAGGAGGGGCAGGTTGCAAGCTGCACAATTGCTAATATGAGACAAGTATCCCTTCCTGTTCGTGGTGGGGTCTCCCCTGGGCTCCCACCCCTGCACTCGGGCCCCGGCCCCGGGTGGTCTCCCCTTGTCCCAGCCCTGCTGACCTCAGACCTCACAGCTCTGCATGGGAACAAAGGCTGATGGGCTCTCATTTTGGGTATTCCTCCTGAGAGCTGGATACCCTGGGAGTCCCCCCAGGTCAAGGGTATTCTGAGCCCTGGTGGGCCACTCTCAGGCCCCTCCCACCATGGGCATGGGCGTCTCTGGTCTGCTGGGACCAGAGCCTGCCAGAGGGATGGGGGAAGGTCTGCATATCCCTGGAGGAGACGGAAGGCACCCCAGGAGCTCCCTGCAGGGGTCTGTGCTCTTCAACGGGCAGGGTGTGGACCCAGCCATAGATGCTGGCCTGCTGGCAAGCTGCCTTGGGCACCCTGGCAACAGGCAGAGCGGCACTGGCCTTAGGACCTGCCCATGTGGAGCTTAAATGAAAAAGCTAAGATGTTCCTGGGCAGAGACCGCCCAGTCTGACCTTTCTGCCCTGCCTGCCCTATGTGTCTGCTGGAGGTGGGGGCTCCCATTGCCCTCAGCTGTCCTCCGACCCCATCTCCTGCTTCTGCTCCCTCACCCCTCACCCCTCATCCCCTCCTCATGGACAGCCTGCACCCAGTCCTTGTCTCACGGAGGAAATCCATTACTGTGGACAGGCCTGCCTGGGGGATGGCAGGGGACATGTGAGGGGAACCCACAGTACCCTGGGGGTACTGTGCAGCAAACACCTGGAAGGGCGGGGAGGGGTGTCTCTGGAGGATAGGGGGGGCCTTGGCTGCTAGTCCTGCCTGCCACCCGTGGTCTCCTGGGGTGAGGCATGTACCTATTGGCCTTTCACTTTTCTCTCTGTTTCCTTAGGGAGGGTGGGAATACTTGAGTCCCAGGACCCCTGCCGCTCCTAAACTCCTGTGAGCTCGTGAGGGGGCAGCCCTGGAGGGCTTCTGAGGGAGTTGCCTCCACAGGAGGCCGGGACCATAGCAGGGGGTGTGAGGTGGGGGTAGGGCATGAGTGAACCAGGTACAGGGCAGGCATGCAGGCCCAGATGAGGAAAAGGGGGCCTCCCAGGGGAGGCCAGGCACCCCTTTTGGCCAGACTGGAGTGTATTAGAGAGGTGTTTAGAGAGGAGTGGGGAGAGGGGCTGGAGGCAGCTCAAGGAAAGCTGAGAGAACTGTCCTAAGGACTTGGGGTACACACAGAAGAGGGAGGCATGACTCAGTCCCTTCCTGCTGCTGGGAATGTTGGCGTTCTCAGATGCCAGAAGGACATGGGGATGGTCGGAGGGATGGGTGTGACCTCAAGACTGAGCACAGCGTGCCGTGCTGCCTGCTGACCTCAGGAGAAGCGAAGGCTTTATGGGGGAGAGAGCAGGTCACACTGCATGACGACCAGTGAGCCCCCGTCAGCAGTGTGCATGTTGGGCTGGGAGGCCGGCAGAGTGGGGAACGCGCTGAGAGGCAACAGCACAGCGCAGAAGTCATCGGGCGGTGTGAGGACAATGAAAGGCAGGGACTCTGTGGGAGTAGGCCACGGGCTCTCCAGAAAGATGCACAGCTGAAGGATGCTGTGCACGAAGGCGGCAAGGTGGGCTAGAGATATATCCCTTACCTGGAGAGCTGGGCGAAGGTGTCACCAGAGAGGAGATGGATGGTGCCCCAGTAGACAAGGTCCCTGTGGCACGAAGGGATGAGCTTCCATGGACAGAGGTCGAGCTGGCCAGGATCACGGTGGTTGGCACTCCAGTGGTAATAGATTGTCCAGTGCTGAGGTTAGTGACTGGAGAAGTCAGGATGGCTGTCACACCCACAGTGGAGGAAAAGAGACTGGAAGTAGGGTTTCGGGTGGTGAGAGTCGTAGACTGTGAGGTGGTAGAGTGGGAAGAGAGAGTGTGGGACATCGGGGTGCTGGGTGTGGTCCTGGGCAAAGAAGGAAGAATGCTGGTGCTGGGCAGGGAGACAGGTGTCCCAGGAAGAGGAGGCCTGGTGGGCAAATTAGAGGGGGGAAAGTTTTGGGTGGGCAGAGAAGAGGCTGAGGACAAGGTGGAGGTGGAGGTGCCTGGGAAAGAAACAAAGGAAGAAATGGAGGCTGTACTTGATGTACTTGGGAAGCCAAGGGAGGTCAGGGTGTGAATGCCAGAACTTGAGCTCGTGACCTGTGGAGAAGGAGAGGAGGGGCCTGTGTGCCTGGCAGTGGAGAGGGAAGAAGGGGTTCCCAGGTGTGATGGGGTGATGAGTCGGTTGGTAGTGGGAGTCACGGAGGACGTGGTAGAGGGGGCAACGTGCATGGAGACGGTGGACTCGGGGCGCGATGGGTTGGGCAAGGCAGTGGTCGTGCGGAAGGAGGTCTCCGTGGGGGGACCTGTCGTGTGGGCCGTGCTGGAGACAGCTGGCGTGGACGTGGAGTGAGAGGTGAGCGGCGTGTGTCGCTCGCTGCTGGTGGCCGTGGCCGTGGCGGTGTGCGTCACGGAGGTCAGGGTCCCCGTAGCAGGTGGCTCGTGGGAGACGGAGGGTGTGGGGGCGCTTGAGGTTTCGTGATGGATGGGTTCAGAAGTGTAAGACTGTCTGGAGGTGGAGGTTTTGGCTGTGCTGAGCGAGCTAGGGGTGTGCGTGGTCCAAGTGAGTGGCGGGGTCGTGTGCGTGGGCTCTGTCCCTGTGGTGGGGCCGTGTGGAGAAGGAGAGGAGGGGCCCGTTTGCCTGGCAGTGGAGGGGGAAGAAGGGGTCTCTGGTTGTGATGGGCTGATGACTCGGTGGGTGGTAGGAGTCACGGAGGACGTGGTAGAGGGGGCAACGTGCATGGAGACGGTGGTCTCGGGGCGCGATGGGTTGGGCAAGGCGGTGGTCGTCCGGAAGGAGGTCCCCATGGGGGGACCTGTCGTGTGGGCCGTGCTGGAGACAGCTGGCGTGGACGTGGAGTGAGAGGTGAGCGGCGTGTGTCGCTCGCTGCTGGTGGCCGTGGCCGTGGCGGTGTGCGTCACGGAGGTCAGGGTCCCCGTAGCAGGTGGCTCGTGGGAGACGGAGGGTGTGGGGGCGCTTGAGGTTTCGTGATGGATGGGTTCAGAAGTGTAAGACTGTCTGGAGGTGGAGGTTTTGGCTGTGCTGAGCGAGCTAGGGGTGTGCGTGGTCCGAGTGAGTGGCGGGGTCGTGTGCGTGGGCTGTGTCCCTGTGGTGGGGCCATGTGGAGGAGGAGAGGAGGGGCCCGTTTGCCTGGCAGTGGAGGGGGAAGAAGGGGTCTCCGGTTGTGGTGGGGTGATGACTCGGTGGGTAGTGGGAGTCACGGAGGACGTGGTCGAGGGGGCAACGTGCATGGAGACAGTGGTCTCGGGGCGCGATGGAATGGGAAAGGCGGTGGTCGTGCGGAAGGAGGTCCCCGTGGGGGGACCTGTCGTGTGGGCCGTGCTGGAGACAGCTGGCGTGGACGTGGAGTGAGAGGTGAGCGGCGTGTGTCGCTCGCTGCTGGTGGCCGTGGCGGTGTGCATCTTGGAGGTCAGGGTCCCCGTAGCAGGTGGCTCGGGGGAGATGGAGGGTGTGGGGGCGCTTGAGCTTTCGTGATGGATGGGTTCAGAAGTGTAAGACTGTCTGGAGGTGGAGGTTTTGGCTGTGCTGAGCGAGCTAGGGGTGTGCGTGGTCCGAGTGAGTGGCGGGGTCGTGTGCGTGGGCTGTGTCCCTGTGGTGGGGCCGTGTGGAAAAGGAGAGGAGGGGCCTGTGTGCCTGGCAGTGGAGGGGGAAGAAGGGGTTCCCAGGTGTGATGGGGTGATGAGTCGGTGGGTAGTGGGAGTCACGGAGGACGTGGTTGAGGGGGCAACGTGCATGGAGACGGTGGACTCGGGGCGCGATGGGTTGGGCAAGGCAGTGGTCGTGCGGAAGGAGGTCCCCGTGGGGGGACCTGTCGTGTGGGCCGTGCTGGAGACAGCTGGCGTGGACGTGGAGTGAGAGGTGAGCGGCGTGTGTCGCTCGCTGCTGGTGGCCGTGGCCGTGGCGGTGTGCGTCACGGAGGTCAGGGTCCCCGTAGCAGGTGGCTCGTGGGAGATGGAGGGTGTGGGGGCGCTTGAGGTTTCGTGATGGATGGGTTCAGAAGTGTAAGACTGTCTGGAGGTGGAGGTTTTGGCTGTGCTGAGCGAGCTAGGGGTGTGCGTGGTCCGAGTGAGTGGCGGGGTCGTGTGCTTGGGCTGTGTCCCTGTGGTGGGGCCGTGTGGAGAAGGAGAGGAGGGGCCCGTTTGCCTGGCAGTGGAGGGGGAAGAAGGGGTCTCTGGTTGTGATGGGCTGATGACTCGGTGGGTGGTAGGAGTCACGGAGGACGTGGTAGAGGGGGCAACGTGCATGGAGACGGTGGTCTCGGGGCGCGATGGGTTGGGCAAGGCGGTGGTCGTCCGGAAGGAGGTCCCCATGGGGGGACCTGTCGTGTGGGCCGTGCTGGAGACAGCTGGCGTGGACGTGGAGTGAGAGGTGAGCGGCGTGTGTCGCTCGCTGCTGGTGGCCGTGGCCGTGGCGGTGTGCGTCACGGAGGTCAGGGTCCCCGTAGCAGGTGGCTCGTGGGAGACGGAGGGTGTGGGGGCGCTTGAGGTTTCGTGATGGATGGGTTCAGAAGTGTAAGACTGTCTGGAGGTGGAGGTTTTGGCTGTGCTGAGCGAGCTAGGGGTGTGCGTGGTCCGAGTGAGTGGCGGGGTCGTGTGCGTGGGCTGTGTCCCTGTGGTGGGGCCATGTGGAGGAGGAGAGGAGGGGCCCGTTTGCCTGGCAGTGGAGGGGGAAGAAGGGGTCTCCGGTTGTGATGGGGTGATGACTCGGTGGGTAGTGGGGGTCACGGAGGACGTGGTAGAGGGGGCAACGTGCATGGAGACGGTGGACTCGGGGCTCGATGGGTTGGGCAAGGCGGTGGTCGTGCGGAAGGAGGTCCCCGTGGCGGGACCTGTCCTGTGGGCGGTGGTGGAGACAGCTGCCGTGGGCGTGGAGTGAGAGGGTAGTTGCCCTTGGGAGTTGCTTGATGTCGGTGCCTCTCGTGTGGTCGTCGTTGGCTCGGTCTTGTAGCTGATGTTGGTGTCCGGGAGTGTAGCGTGTTCTGTGTGCTTATTGTCTGCGGTCACATCGGTGTTGCGGGTCCTTTGGTGAGTGGTGGGCGCTGTGGAAACAGTGTGTGCCAATCAATGTTTTTGCTTGTGATTATCCTCACTGGACAACCCGTCCTGTCTGCTCTGTCTGTGCTGTGTCCTGCCCGTCCCTGGCCTCTTAGTGTCCCTGCTGGGGACGTCCCAGTGTTTTCTGAGTGTCCTGTCCCTGTAGTCTGTTTTGCCCCCCGCTGTCTTTCCCTGTGCTTGTTACCCCTTTGTAGCTTAGCCTCGTGAAGTGATTACGGGGGAGTTTCCTGTGATTCTTTGTGGCTCCTTTCCCCTCCCCAGTGTCAGGTGTTTGCTCTGTGTTTGGTGGGTCCTGCCTTTGGCCTTCAGGTGTGTTTCTTCTGATTGCTCTGGGAAGAAGGGGGCCGTGTTGCCTGCTCCGAGGGTGTGGGGACTGTGCTGTAGGTGTACTTGTGAGCGTTGCCGTGTCCTTGGGTCTGTGGTCACTTGGGGCGGGGGTGCTTGTGGTGGGTGGGTGCTCTCCTGCTATGGCCATGGAGAAGTGGAATGGAGTGTAGTTAGTGCGGTGTGCTTGGGGTTGGGTTTTGGGGGTGCCCCCTGCCTTTTGGACCAGCTTGGCCCGTGGAGCCCCACATGGACCCATACAGCTTTGGTGCGTTCCAGGCATATGTGCTTCTGCCCCTTTTTGGGGACAGTCATGTGGGGTGTGCTTACTTGGTGGGGGTCCTGTATACGTTTCTGAAGTTCCTGGGGTCTGTGGTAATGCTGTGCTGTGCTCTGTGGACTGAGCTGTGGATTGTGCTGCTGAGCTGCGTGTGGATGCTGTGGAGTTCGTTGTGGCCTGTGTCGCTGTGGGTCCTGTGGCCGTGGACTTGAGAGTGGCCGTTGGGGCTGGTGCCGAAGTGGCCCGTGTGGCGATGGCAGAGAGGGTTCGCGGTGAGTCTGCAGGGAGCAGTGCTCAGAACATTCCTCCAGAGCCCTCCGCGCTTTCCCGCTGAATCTGAGCTCGCTGCCCCCGCTGTACCCCGTGGGAGGCGTGTGCCTTCCCCCAGCCGACCCCCTGGCCTCCCTGGCTGGCCCTGGCTTGAGTGGCCACAGTGGTGTTTTCAGGGACCCCATGCTTGCTGGGCCACCGCCTCCCTGTCCACCCACCCTTGCTAACAGGGTGAATGTCTCATTCCCCCGTGGTTTCCGGGAAGCTGGAAGGGGTTCTGCTGCGTGGGGGGGGGGGGGCGGGCTCCCAGGGATCCTCGAGGTGGCCCGTCCTATGTGTTTTCTATCAGGAGTATCAGGCAGCAAAGAATGGTCACATTCTGTGACAGGTTATCCTCAGAAAAAGCCTTTCATGGAAACCGAGCTCCAGTCCCAAGCACAGGGGACTCTGTGTCTGCGAAGGAGCTCAGTGGAACGTTCTCTCGGGGGCAGTGTGGGCCCCGGTCCGTCACCCTGAGCTCCCTGTCAGCCCTGCTGTTGTCCAGGGCTGCCCGGGGCGGCGGTTGCGGTGGGCCTGCTGGGGGCAGGCTCTGTGTGCCCCCTCCCCCCTGACTTCCTGGGGTCGGTACCTGCTGCTCCCTCCGTGCAGAGTGGCCCCAGGGGCAGCCCAGGCTCGGTGTCCGCCCCAGCCCACACCCGGTGCTGGGGACACAGGGACGGCAGTGTCGGTGGCCAGGGCCCTGGGCACCCAGGTGCCCGGCAGACACAGCCTGGGCTGGCCAGGGGCCATCCTGCCGAGCCAGGCTAGAGCTGGCGGTGGGCCTGCTTCACCTTGGCACCTAGTGTGTGTAGTCACCTGTGGTGGGCCTTGGCGTGGTGGGCGGCGACACTGCAAGGAGAGGGGCAGTCAGGAGCGCTGCCCCCGCCCAGCTGAGGACCCAGGGGGGCGGAGCCGCCACAGAGGGGCCTGGGCGCCTGCTCCTGGTCCCCGTGCCCATCTCTTGCCCTGTCCCATCCCACCGTAGTCAGCGATCCAGGCGAGCTGGTGCTGAATCCCCAGCGGCTTGCTGCTCTGTGCCCACACACCCCAGCGGGATGGCAGGGTCGGGTCTGCCCTGGGGCCGCTGATGATTGGGAAGGGGAAGAGAGGGGAGGCTGGTGCCTTTCCTGTTTCTGCTGCCCCGGCCCCGGTTGCCTGGGTCCCTGGGAGTCTCCGCACCCGAGGGCATGTCCTGTGGGGCGTCTGCCGGGAGGCTGGCCTCAGGTCTGTGTGGGGGCTGGCCGCTCCAGCCAGAGGCTGGTGGGTGTGGGGCGTGGGGCCTGGGCGGCGTGCGGGGCTTACCGCAAGGAACGCAGCTCCCCGTGTTGTGGTCGAAGTACTCGTGCTGGGAGCAGTTGTAGCAGCCTGGAGAGGGGGTGGCACAGAGGGTGACGGGGAGGCCCCTCTCCCCTGCCTGTCCACGCCCAGTCCCCTGCCTCTGCCCGAAGCCTGGATGCAGGGCCCCCTCCGGCACACCCCCAGACTCCGACCCGCCCTCCTGCAGGCCGCGCTCTCTCGGCCGTACCTTCGGTATTGGTGTCTGGGAGGCTCTGTGGGTGCTCAGGGCAGAGGCACGGCTGGTAGTGCCACGTGCAGTTGGCCTCCTGGCCGTACCGGTATGCGCCGTCCCCCTGCGCGTGGGTGTTGTAGAAGTCACAGTAGACGGCTGGTAGAAGGGGCTCGTGTCAGGCCCTCGGCGTGCGGGCCGGGGGCCCAAGCCCGCACCCGTGCCCGCCCCGGAGAGTGGGCCTGGGCGGGCACTCACGGCAGAAGTCCGGCGTCCTCCAGTCCACGCACACGCCCTTGTCCAGGCAGGCCTTGGCGTAGGCGGCCACCGCGTCACAGAGGCACTCGCAGTCCCCGCGTGTGTCACAGCCACACGCGTCTTGCACACAGGCCTCGTAGTAGGGCAGGCGGTACACCTGCGGGAAGGGGCCCTCAGTGCCTGCCCCGCGGCCCGCGCTGCGCTGGGAGCCGGGTCGCGGGCCCCGAGGGCGGGCCCACCTGGCTGTGGCAGGCGGCGAAGGTGGGGCTGTTGATGATGCTGCACTTGCGCTCTGCCCAGCTGCGGCGGAACGTGTTGAGGCTGCAGGGGTCCAGCGCGAGGCTGGTGTCCCCGCACAGCGGGCTGTCCTTCCACGAGTTCACGAATTCCAGCTCACTGGATGCCACGTAGTTGCTGCGTGTCTCAAAGTCGTCCTTCATGTTCCCGTTGTAGTTACCACACAAGCCGCACAGCGCATCCTGTGGGGGGGCTGGCGTCAGGCCGGGCGCTGCCCCTGCCCCGCGGATGGCCCTGGGCCTTGGGGCGGCCCCGGTACCTGGGTGGTACGCGTAATCCTGATGAAGACAGTCATGCGCTTGTTCCAGACGAGGGTCATGTTGTACCTGTTGCCGATGGCGACGTCCAGCACCAGGTTCAGGGACCCGGTGTTGACCCGCAGGCGCACATGGGGGTCCTCCCCGCGGACCGTGTAGTTCCTGTCCGCCAGCACGACGGACAGGCCCTGTGGGGCGGGGCTGTCACGCGGCTGCCTGTCCCTCGTCCTGGCAGCCGCTGGACGTCGGTGGGCTCTGCGTGCCCTGCCCAAGCTGTCTGAGGCAGGGCGGACCCCATCTGTTAAGGGAGCGTGTGGGCCTGTGCCTGCCCAGGGCTGTTCTCCGCTGGGGGCCTGCCCTCTAGAAACTGCCCTTGGCAGAACGTTCCAGAACATGGTGGAAACTGCACCAAGGGCCGAGGGTCAGGTTTCTGGGAGAAGCCCTTCCCTTCGCACGGCTGTCCAGCCCCAGGAGACACTGCTGCCCGCCATGCAGACGGGGGGCCTGGGGGCACCAGGAGGCCAGGACGTGGGGGTCCGGGGGCTGAGGTGTGGGGAGACCCTACCCGACCCACTCACCCCCAGGAAGATCTTGATGGCCCGGGAGCAGGTGACGCCTGACTTGCCACACACAACGTTCTCCGTCAGGACCTTGAAGGTGGGCTGCGAGTTGTTGGCCCCGCAGCCGTCCTGTGGGGACGCGGGCGCTGAGGAGGAGCCCGCCTGCTGGCCCCTGGGGTCCCCACGCCCCACGGCCCAGGGTGGGGCCTTACCGTGGTCAGGATGTACCCACAGCTGCCGTCGAACATGAAGCGCTGACCGTCGAAGGTGACCACGTGGCCCTCCCCGTAGAGGGTGCAGGTGGATGAGCAGCGGGTGCTCTGCCAGCAGACCCATTTCCCCCTGGAGCAGGTGCTGGGGGGGAGGTGGGCCATCGTGGGGCTTCAGGGGGACCGCGCCACACGTGCATTCCCACTGGACCCTGACCTTGGTGGGGTTGCTGGGGCACCCCAGGGACAGCCGTGGGCCGCCGGGGCTCCGGGCTCAGGCTGTGGCTCACCATGTCTTACAGTCGGTGTGGAGCTGGGCGCCCCGGGGGTAGGAGACCCCCGCAAACTCGCACGGACATTCCTCGGGGGGTACGCACTGCCCGGGGGCGTTCTCGTAGAGCCCCTTGGCACAGACACAGCCAGGCTCGCACTTGGTGGGTACCTGCAGGGAGAGGGTCAGTGGCCCCTGGGAGGGTGGCTTCGCCTACTGCTGCCATCGCCCCGGGCCCTTCGGAGACACCCGATACTCCTCCCTGTATGTTCCCGGTGTCCGCCCCTGCTCCAGGCCCCTCAGCAAAGCCACCAGGCAGGTTCTGGTGCTTCTGTGTCACTCCTGAGCTTGTGCCCCCCCCCCAGGCCCACAGTCCTCGGGGAGGCCCCCCCCACAGGCACCCCCACCTTCCAGCCGCCAGAGCCACTGCTGAGCCTCTCGGCCCCCTTTGGGCACCGGCCACCCTCATCACAGGTGACAGGGACAGATGGACAGCGTGGCCCTACCCTCCGGGGGGTTTGTGAAAACCCTCTCACGGTCCAGGGAGAGGCCCTGGGCGTGGCTGTCTGGTGGCGAGTGCCCTCTGCGGAGTGCCCTTGCCCCTCCAAGCCTTACGCAGGGGGTGCCGGTGGCCAGCATTTGACATGTGGGGGCACAGGCCGCCCCAAATGTGTTCTCCGAGGACTCGCCACAGGCCTGGAAGGTCTTGGGGGCCGAGCAGTTTGCTGCAGGGAAGGGGGCAGAGCTGGGGTGAGGTGGGCTCGGAGGGTCCGCCACACCGGGCAGCCCAGCCCGCCGGCCTCAGTGCAGCTACGTACCCAGGAGCATCTGTGGGCGCCCCGGGCAGCGCAGCCTGCCGTGGACGCACTGGCTGCAAGAGGTAGGCTGTGTGAGCGCCCTGGGTCCGGGCTGGGGGCTGCCGGCCGGGCGGGCCGGCCCCGGGAGCCCCGTGCTCACCAGATGACGCCGTGGACCATGGCGGACTGGTCAGCCAGGAGGTACTTGCTGCTGTCCAGGAGGCAGGGGCACTGGGCCTTGCGCACGCACTGGGCCTTGTGGTTGAGGTAGGTGCCCTCGGGGCAGTTGCAGCCGTCCACGGGCACGGCACTCGGATGGCACTCGGCGGCGCGGTCAGACAGTGACAGGCACGTGCGGCCGCAGGCCCGGATGTCATAGCCGAACGTCTGGTTGCCCATGCAGGGGGTGGCTGCGGGGGGACTGGGTCAGGCCCTCAGGGGATGCTGCGTGCCTCTGCCCCCCCCCCCCCCCCGCTTGCGCCCGCCGGCACGCACTGCAGTTGTCCACGCTGCTCCTCCAGCCCCTCAGCGGGATGCCGTGGGCAGCGCACGTGCGGGCGTAGTCACTCAGGGCGGCGCACACGTGTGGGAGGGTCTCCTCATAGTTGCAGGCCTGGTACACGCACCTCTGCGGTGGACACGGCTTGTTCGCTGGGCGTCCGTGCCCCCCGGCCCCCAGGGCCCGCCCCCTGGGGTCCCTGCTGGCCCTGCCCACCTTGTAGAAGGGCCTGGGGTTCACCGTGGCGTGGCACCTCTCGAACACTGTGCCGTCCCTCACCAGCACTGAGCAGTGGGTCTCTGCACACACCTCTGGGGGGACGGGGGAGGCATGGGTCTCTCGCTCACCCGGCCTGGGCCTCGTGCCCACCCACAGACCTCCCAGGGCCCGGCACTCACTGTTGAGCTGGCTCATGGAGCAGGGGTCTGTCTCGCGCTCCAATGAGGCCGGGCAGTTCCCCGTCCGCCAGGAGTCCACGAAGAGCGAGGCGGTGCCCTCCACGATGCCCGTGCTGGCCATGAAGTCATCCGTCGTGTCCCCATTGAAGGTGCCACAGAGCCCTGTACCAGCCGGGCCGTGAGGGGGGCCAGCCTGTGCTCCTGCCCTGCCCTGCGCTCTGAAGCCCCTCTCCTCCCGTCACCATGCCTGGGGCACGAGGCTGTCACCAGCCCCAGGAGGGCCAGCCTGGGGTCGTGAGTGCTGGACGTGCAGGGCTCTCTTGGGCCTTTTCTCTGCTGTGGCCACACTGGGCAGGGACAGGGAGGGGCTCACCTCTGGTCTGGCCTCTGAACTGGGGCCCGACAGTGACATACACCTGGAACACGGGCTCTAGCTGGATCACGAGCTCCAGGCCGAAGGTGGTGGTCATCTGGAGGTGGGTGGACGTCTGCCTGAAGACTGTGATGTTGCCTGGGGGGAGAGGGGGCTCAGGAGGCAGCCTGCTTGGGGACTCTGGCCCAGTGAGGACCTAGGTGCCGGGCAGGGGCTGAGGACATACGAGTCTTGTACGGTAGCCACTTGGTGTTCCCGTTGTTGGTGAGGACCTCGTCCCGAGAAATCACGATTTTGTCCTAGAGGGAGGGTGGCCCGAGTCACAGGGGTGCCAGGAACAGGGGGAGGCCTCCCCTCCTGCAGGCCCGGCGGGACACAGCGGGGTGGGTGCAGCATCCGCGTGGCGGGGTGGTCTTACCTCTCTGGACATGTAGATGACGGCAGCTAGGGCCGTCTCCGAGGGAGAGTACCCAGACTTGTCGTATGAGGCCACGAGGGAGCCCCCGTCGGGGAGCTGTGGGCTCTGGGAGGGGGGTGAGGCTTAGCCCAGGTGGCCGCGGGTTGTCCTTGTGACCCCCCCTGCGGTCACCCCTTGGGGCGGGCCCCCCGGTAGTGGCGTGTCCTACCTGGAGGAGGGTGTAGGTGCAGGCGCCATGGAAGCGGTAGGGCCGGGCGTCGAACGTGGTGACGAAGGAGCTGCCTTGTAGGGAGCAGTGCCGGGGGCAGGGCTGCTCTGTGCACGTCCAGCGGCCCGTGGTGCAGTGGCTGCAGGCGGGGAGGGCTCACCCAGATGGCACCCCCAGACGCTCCAGACTGGGGCTGCCCCAGGACCCCTGTGTCCCCCCTCATCCCCATCCTGCCCACCTGCCCTTGCAAGCTGCCCTGCACTTACCAGGTCTGGCAGGCAGCTGTCACGACCTCCCCGGGGGCGTAGACCACCCCGTTGAGCATACAGGGGCACTGGGTGATGGGCACGCAGGTGTGGTTTTTGGAGACATCATCAAGAACCATCCCTGCGGGAGACGGGTTTCCTGGACCTGTGGCTAGATGCCCCACCACCCCCGCACTGGCAGCCCTTTGTGCCCGTGTGCTCAGACCCACGTGCTGCTCCTGGTTGGATCAGATCCCACGTCTTCCTAGCGATCTCTTGGACCCGCAGCCACACCATCCCACTGCCCCGCCGCAGGGCCCGTGGGGTGGGGGCAAGCCCTTCCCTTCCCTGGGGCGGGACAGGCCTGGCTCTGTTGTGCTGGGGTCAGGTAGTGGCCTAGCCTCGGTCTCCGGTGAGTTTCGAGGGGCCCCGGGGGGAGCGGTTGCCCTCACCTTCGGGACAGAAGCAGCCGAAGGTGCAGAAGCTGGAGCAGGTGTGCTGTGGGTTGGAGCAGGTCTTGATGCAGGGCTCGCCGCATTCCTGGTACACCTGGTTGGCCGGGCATGGGCCCACAGCTGCAGGCACATGCAGCCTCTGTGACGGGGCCGGGGTGCTCCAGCGCCCCCGCCACCTGCCCTGCCCCCGCCAAGGACGCAGCCCCGCCCTCCTTCGCCCAGTCCCCTTCCAGCTCACAGACGAGGCGGGGTCGGAGCCTGGGGGTCGGTGCCTGGGGCCCTGGCCCTCCCTGCCGCCCTTCCCAGCACTCACAGCAGAGGCCAGGGCCGCGCCAGCTCCTGACAGCCTGGCCAGCCACACGGCACCGGCGCGAGTACTCGGACAGCGTGGCACAGCTGCAGTTCCACTGGCCTGGCAGGACACACTCGGCCATGTCCGCCTGGCAGCTCAGCATGAATGGCTCTCTGGGCACGTTGCACTCGGGGGCCACCCGGGTCAGCAGCTCGGTGCAAGTCTGGGCCTGGGCAGAGGACCACGCGGGTCACGGGGGTCAGGGCCACCCCCCACACCGGCCTCGGAAGCCTGGGGGCGTTGTTGGCCTCGGAGACCCTGTCAGACCTCGGGGGCCAGCCCCCGCCGTGGCTGAAGGGCTCCCAAGGCCCCACGTACGTGCTCTGCCTGTGGGACCTGGGGGCTGGTGACGGGCGTGTATGTGCAGATCTCCCTGGGGTCATCCAGCGTCTGGAGGGCAGCGTACATGTGCGGCTCCAGCAGTTTGCCTGGGGGGGTGGGGTGGGGTGGGGTCGGGTCAGCACCGTGGGGGCCGGGCTGCAGGGACTCTGGGCCCCAGCCCCCTCCTACCTTCCTCGCTCAGGAACTCGTCGGTCTGCTTGCCATTGAAGTCCCCACAGAGACCACACAGCTTGCCCATGTGCCGTTTCTCCACGAGCACCTGTGGGTGGGCAGGTGGGCACTGCCGTCAGGGCGCCCCAGGACCCTCGCCCACCAACAAAGCCCAGGCAGGCTGCTGGATTTGGACCACCCAGCCCGCCGCCGCCGCCAGCGTCCTCACCAGCAGGTGACTGCCCGGGCCCCACATGACCACCAGCTCCAGCTCTAGCTGCTTGGCCACCAGCTGCACACTCTGGCCAAAGGGTGTGATCTGGAGCCCGTTGCTGGAGTAGGGCAGGCTGACGACCCTGCGGGACAGAGTGGTCAGGGGCCGCCCCCCGGCTCCCCAGCCTCCCACCCCAGCCACGTGGCCTACCCCACATCCTTCACGGAGATGACTGCCTTCTGCACGGTGACCACAGAGGCCCCCAGCTCCACAATGAGCCGGGAGATGTTCCCGCTGGGCCCGCGCCGTAGCTGGACACTGAAGGTGGACGGTGCGTCCTTGCAGATGGCTGCAAAGACGTAGTTGCAGGTTCCCGGGAAGTCATACACATGGCCGTCGAAAGTGGAGAAGTGGCCGGCCCCCCATGTGGAGCACTGACCCTTGTCTGGAGCTGTGGAGGCAGTGGGCAGAGTCTTGGAACCCTGTGCCCGCCCTGGTCGGTGGGGCAGGCCTGGGGGGTCCTGACCCCATGAGCTGGGCCCCCGGGGAGCCCATGCTGGCCTCCCAGGTTCCAGGTGCTTCCGGGTTGGGCAGGAAAGAGCCCCTGCCCCCCACCCCCCCCCAGTGCCAGCCCCGCTGTGGGCTGGGTCTGCCTCCCATCCCAAGCCCCTGTCTCGGCTGGGGTCTGTAGGACCTGCACGGGGCCCCCAGCCCTCCTGGCAGCCCGGGCTTGTTTCCCGTCCGGGCGAGGGGCTGGCTAAGTCTTCCCGGGGCTGGATCCCCCTCATGGAAACCCCGGGCCACGGCCACTCTGTGGTAGGGCCGTGGCACAGGGGCTCTGGGTGACTCTGGAGGACGGGAGGCTGCCTGTGGCCCTCACCTGTGGGTGGGGAGTCCTGCAGCCTCCGGAGGCCTGGGTGCACAGAGGAGGTTTCATTTAGACCTGTGTGGACGGGGACTGTGGTCAGTGATGGCGCCGCCCGCCTTCCCCCTCGGTGGGCAGTGTGTCGGCCTGGAGCGAGGCGCCGGCCGTCAGGCCTGGGCCTGGCTCTTCACGGCCCTCTGACTAGCCCGGTTCAGCTGCTCATTCGGGCACTAGCCGGTCACGTCTGCATGGGATCCCTGCGCATGTGGAATGGCAGGACGCCAGGGCCTGAGGGTGAGGGGATGCCCGTCGCCAATGCTGGACGGTTGGAGCGGCCCCTGGGGGGGAGGGCGAGAGGTGTGCGGCCGTCTGCCGGTCCTCTGGGCGGAGTGGGGGCAGGGGTCCCCGGGCCTGCAGCACCCACTGGTCTGCCTGCCAGGCTCCCGTCACTCGGTACCTGCTCATCCCCCACATGCTCCAGGCTTCTCTGGGGTTTGAAAAGGGGACCCCCCCCCGCCCCCGCAGGACAAACAGGCAACCCTGACAGGCCGGGATCCAGGCAGTGCTGGCTCCTGGGTGGGCTCCTGTGGGTCTGGGGTTCATGTGGACCACAGGGGTGCTTATTGTAGGTGGGGGGCCCTGCGCTGGGAGGGGCCTGGTGGGCTTTGAGCAGGAGGCGGTGGGAGACCTGGGGGAGGGTGTGCGGGCACCTGACAGCGCAGGGCTGGGGTTGGCATGCAGCTGTCCCGGCGGCACCCCACCCCTGTGCTCCCAGGGGTGAGGTCTGAGGCTCCCCAGTGGGCTTCTCCTCTACCAGGCTCTGAAAGTGGTTGCTTTCCGGCTTCCTTCTTCCCAGACAGTCCTCCCGGCCCCTGCCCTGGTCGGCGCTCCCATCCTCCAGACCCTGTGGAGCCCTCAATTCTGCCATGGCTCCCGCCTGGTTCAGCAGCCCATGTGGCTCTTGGGGTCCTGACCCTGCCCACTCCCCCACCCTGCTCAGCAGTGTTCATGGGTCTCGGCGTGATGCCAGGGAACAGGGACAGTGGCCCGGCAGCCCAGGGGTCCCCAGATGGCTGTGTTGCTCCCCTGTTCCAGTGGGCCAGTGACACTTGGTTCTGAGCCTCCTGCCTCCGCAGTGCCTACCATGTGGGTCCCTGTCTCTGCCCCTCCTCAGCTCGCGACCCGCCCCCAGGACGCTTCCAGTTGCCTCCAATGCCCGCCCCCGGTGGGTCACTCCCTGGTCCCCACTTGCAGGGACTACTGCACCACTCTTCTTTGTCACCCAGCCTCACGGAGCCCTGGCGGGTGGGGCCGTCCTTTGCTGTCTGAACAGTGCCAGGCCCCCGCCCTGCCCCGCCCCCCCCTGCCCTGCCCGCCGCCCCCCCCCGCCCCCCGGCAGCGCTCAGGGGCCAGCCAAGGGATGGTGTGTACTTCCCACTGGGAATCTCAGAACAAGCAATGATGCTTGCCTTGGTCCCCCCCGGGTCCAGCCTTTCTCAGCCCCTGGACTGGACAGAGAGCCTCCGGGGCACATGCTCTTCCTTCTGCACACTTGGGCACCCTGCCTGCCCCTTCCCGTCTGGTGCCACCCCAGCCTGGCTCAGGGGCCTCTGCCCCTCACCTGCCTCAAGTTCCAGGCACCCCAAGGCTCCTGCGTCTGACCTTGTGCTTTTTGAGCCTCTGGTTCAGGAGGCCAGAGCCCGCCTCTTCCTCCTGCACCATTACCAAATCGGTGCTCAAAGGGCGCTGGCAGAAATGTGGCCAGGCCCTGTCCCTCCCCCTCTGCAGCACTCCCACGGCTCAGCAAAGCTGCAGCCCCTCGCCATACCCGTATCCCACCCCGGCTGGCTTCTAGGTGCCTCCCTTCTTGTCCTGATTCTGGGTCCAGGTCTCAGAGGGGATGGGCCCAAGCAGGGCAGAAGTCCTGAGCGCTCAGAGCCACAGGCTTCATGGGAGGGAAGGGGTGGGGAGGGCCCAGGGGAGACCCGCTAGGCTCAGGAGTTCATAGCCCACCCCTAGTGCTTGGGTCCAGGCTGTGGAGCAGGTTTGGGAGTCAAGGCTGGGGGTGGGGCCACCGAGGAGCGGGCAGTGGGCCAAGCATTACGGAGAGAGAAGAGACACGTCCTGCTGGGCTCTCCGGCAGATAGAGGAGATGCAGAGGGCTTGATGCCTGCCGTCAGCGAGAAGGGGTTTCTCTCTGGGCCACCGTGGGATCCCTTGGGGCTAGCCCCTTCCCAGGCTTGGGTGCAGGGGCTGCCCTCAGCCTGTGGCATCATGGTGCCTGGGGTGGTTAGCAGAAGGGACCGGGGGCTGGGGGTAAGGGGAGGACAGAGGGGACCCCTGCTCCATGGGCTTGGTGGGCAAGACTGGGTGGGCTCTAGGGTGGGGTGGTCCCTTCCGAGTCTCTGCAAAATGGTGGTGGTCCTGGGCCCTAGCATGTGTTCCCTTTGGCCCCCTTTGTTTAATCCGTATGGTAGCCACATGAGTGGGAGATGTTTCCTCCACTGTCATAGATGGGGAAATTGAGGCCCAGAGCCCACGAGGCCCCTGCCCTGCTCCCTACACCCTACAGCCCTCCCAGGACCCAGGGCCCAGTGGGGAGAGCCCCCAGCAGTGTCCTGCCCAGCGTGCCCGTGTCCCACTGTACCCACTATTGTTGAGGAGACCCTGTGTCCCTGAGGACCCCCTGTCCCATGAAGCCCGGCATCCTTCTTCCCTGGCCACTGTGCCCGGGGCAGGGGTGAGTGGTGGCCTGTGCACGGGCTGAGCTGGGCTCCGAGCCGGCTCCCTGACAGAGACCCTGGCCTTGGCCAGTGTGGGACGGCTACAGGGCGGGGAGGGGCCTCTCATCCATCGGTGTCCTGGTGGCCAGTTGATGAGGCAAAAAGGGACCCTCGGAGGGCTTCTGTCTGCCCCCACGGTGTGGCCAGTGGGCCCCCACTCACCAGCGCCGAGCAGGGCCCCCCCACAGGAGAGAAGCAGCAGCAGCTGAGGCCCGAGCATGACGGTGGAGAAGAGAGGTCGCCGCTGGACCCGGCCCCTCGCGCCTCGGGACTGTGTCGGCTCCGCCCCCAGAGTGGCCAGCCCTGGATGCCTTATGTAGGGGCTGCAGGTCCTGCCCTGGCCGCACCCACTGGGCGCAGTGGTGGCCAAACAGGATCTTGGGCGCTGTTTGATCAGGACTTGGCCTTTGGAAAGCTCCTTGGTGGACAGCAGCCCCATTATCACTGGCCTCCGGGCAGGGACCGGCACAGACCCTCTGCAGACGTGACCTGCGTGTGCTCTGGGCTGAGATGGCTGGGGCCGTCCTGGGGGCGGTTCTGGAGGATCTGCATGGGCACCATCAGCCACAGCTTGGGGCCGAGAGGCGTTTGTCCTGGGCATGTGGGGGAGACCCCGGGCACCCCTCCGCCCCTGTGGGGGGAGCCCAAAGTGCTAGGGGGGAAGGGGCAGCCCAGAGTGGTCATGCTGTACCCAGAAAGGCCCCCAGGCCTGTTTTCTGACGCCCAGGGCTCCGAACTGCTTGTAGGCGCAGGAGCAGAGGTGGAGTGGCCGCGGGGGTCCCGTCTGGGAGGGCGTCTCTGTGGGGGCTGTGTGCCAGCCTCAGGGTGCCGACCTCCCCGGTGGAGAAGCGGAGCCATGCGCACCAGCCCTGGGAGAAGGACATGGCTCCTGGGGGGCAGCATCTCCGGAAGCAGGGAGTGGGGCGGGACACATGCCAGTGTCATGAGGCTGAGGCCCGGGATGAGAGCAAAGGTCGAGGTCATGGTCAAGGTAAGGTCAGGAGGAGGGTCACGATCGGGGAGGGTCAGGGTCAGGGAGGTAGGGTCAGCAGGTGTGAGTGTTTCGGATCCTGTGGGATCCTCTAGCATTTGGGGAACAGGTGTGGGTCTGGTGACTCTCCAGGGCAGGCTGGTCCTAAGTGGGAGCCTGTGCGGGAGCCTGGGGCCCTGGTCCGGGGGCTCCCCCTTTCCTGAGGTTCTGGCTCCACAGAGACTTGGGGTGCAGGAACCCCACCTGCCCCTGAGGACCCCCCAGGGCTGGGGGGCTGCATCTGCCTCACAGACCGCCTCCTGCCCTAGACCCCCAGCTGCAGAAACCAGTAGATGCCCTGTGTTTTCCTTGAATAAACTTCAGTTTTAATACCACATTGTTTTAACGGAGAACTGCACGCAGCGGGCAGCTGGCCCTCGCCATGTGGAGGGGACGTCCCCGGGCGTGATAGGCACTCCTGTTCCCTCCTTCACTCAGAAGCAGAGGTGGACGGGGAGGGGGTGGTTCCCAGACACTCTCCTGGGTGCCCTGCGCTGGAACCTCCCCAGCTGGGGTCACTGCAGCAAGGAGTCTGTGCACCCAGCTTGGGGGTCTCTGTCCAGGCTCCGCCATGGGGCCGCTGCAGGGTTCTCCTGACCTCGGAGAGCTCACGCTCTCACTGGGGGGCTTGTGAAGCTCTGAATAATGGGTGGGGGCCGGGGTCCCACAGGGGCCAGAGGTAGGCCCTCCTTGAACCTCAGTCCTGGCCAGGGTGCTGGGTGGGTGAGGGCGCCCAGGCAGGGGGCAGTTGGGAGGTGACGCGTCAGGCCTTGGAACAAGCAGTGTGAGGAGAGAGGCCCAGGACCCTGCTGGAAAAATGTCCTTGGGCTGCCTGGGGTCCTCTCCCACCGACTAAAGCCACCTCCTGAGGTGGGTGGGTGAGGCTGTGCCCCTGGTGTCCCCTGCGGCCAGGGCTGGGGGAGCCCCAGGCCTTGTTCTCTGCCCATACCCTTGCTGGGCCCCCAACTGTTTTGCCGGCCAGTGGTGTCCCACCCAGCCACAAGGCTGCCTGCTGCCCTCCCAGCAGGCACCTGACCACAGGGCCTTGGCACGGCCTCCTCCTTGACTCCCTGCAGACCACCCCTCTTTCCACCTCTCCACTCAGCACCCTGCACATCGGGTGCTGTCCTGTCTCCCAGCAGTGCCTCGACCCCTCCTGTCCTCCACGTGTCCATGTGTCCTGGGGCCTGGAGGGCGCCAGTGCCTCAGGACAGACCAGGGGACAGGGACGGATGGAGCCAAACTGTGGTCGTGTGCGCACTCCTGGGGAAGGGGCCAGGGCTCGTGGCAGACAAGGGGTCCCCATGTTGGGGTTCTCAGTGTCACCCCCAGCAGCTTGAGGCACTCCAGCGTGGCCCCAGCAGAGGTTGGGTCACGGGGACTGGAACAGGGCTGCCCGTGCAGCCTGGAGTAGAGAAGCCTGAGCACGTGTGTACGTGTGCGACTCTGAGTTTCCTGGAAAATGTTGCTGAGCATTCCAGCGCCTGTCACCTCCGGGCTGTTCACGCCGCGTGTGCACTCAGCCAACGGCCCTCGGCCTCGCAGCGTTGCCTGCGCCCGGGCCCGGCTCCTTCCTGGTGTGGCGGGGGCTCCTGGGCGGTGGGCCCCGTGTCCCTTTCCATACGCAGGTTTGGCAGCAAACCAGGGAGAATGCGTTTCTCTTCACTGACCCGGGAGCCTTGCGTGTGCTGAGCAAACAGCGGGAGATAAGACTGTGTGTGTCTCCATTGTTCCCGGCCGTGTGGGCAATAAAGGCCCCTCCTGCTGGCTAGTCCTGGGAGGCAGAACCGCGGGCCGGACAAATGGGTGATTGTCCAGCCTCAAGCCCGGCTCAGACCCCCTGCCCTCGCCCTCTGTCTGCATGGCTGGGCCCGGGCTGGCCATGATGCAGGGAGCTCAGGAGGGCCCGCCCCCGCCCCTGCCCCAGTGTGTAGGCAACGGGGCCGGCCCACCGCTCCAGCTTCAGGGCTCAGCTGGGAGGGTGGGTGCTGGCCCCTAGGCAGTCTTGACCTGACCTTCCCTTGGACCGAGAGCCTGCATGAGGACGTTGGCCTTTGCTGCTGGCAGGTGCTTCCAGAAAGTTCCTGACTGGGCTCGTCCCAGGCCAGAAGCCCCCAAGACCCTGGGTTTGCTGGACTCCGGTGTACAGAGGCACCAGAGTGCACACGGGTCGGCCCACCCCTCTGGGCCCCGCCTGTCAGGCGTGACCTCCTTGGGGAAGGGGCAGTAGGCCTTCACCCCCTGAGGCTTGGCCCCACTAATCCCTGTCAGATCAAAGGACTAAAAACGGTGGCTTCGGGGTGCGTCAGGGAAAGATTTCAGTAAGGGAGACGGCATTTGCCTTTGGGGCAACGGTGCCCAGCCTGGCAAGCCTCCATTACCCGTCGGAGCCGTCGGGAGGCTGAGAGGGCTGCCTGCACCGGCCCGTGCGGCCCACACGGCATCCCACTGCCGGGCGCAGAGCGGGCCTTCCGGGCCTCTGGCCTCAGGGGCAAGACCGAGGGGCTGGGGGCCTGGCCCAGTCCCTCCTGCGGCTCCCCCTGAGGGTCAGGCCCAGCCCCTGGGCACCCGCCGCTTGGGCAGATGGTGCAGACCAGGTGACCCTGGGCCTGGAGGGGCCCCGCAGACGAGGACCTCAGGCCTGCCGTGAGAGCCACTGCCCACCCCGGCCCCACCTTCACCCCAAGACCCATGGGCAGCTGGGGTCCCAGCAGTCCGGCCACCATCCATCCCAGCAAGTGCCCCTCCTTCTCTCATCCCCCAAGTGTTCTCGACACCCCCCCAGCAGGCCTATTAGGCCTCCAGATTCTCCCCTCACACGCCAGCCTCCCTTACCCGCCTTTCTCTCTGGCCTCCTGGCCCCTCCCGGGCTGGTTCCTGCTTCTCGCTGGCCCTTCCAGACCCCAGAGCTGCTGGGGGCAACACCAGACCCAGTGACCCAGTGCCACAGGCAAGGGGCCCCAGGGCCACCCCTCCAGACCCTGCCCCTCCTCCCTTAGCCCCCTCTCCTGTGGTCCCGGGGCCACCCTGCTGTCCTCCCCACAACTGACCCTGCTCCGTCTGCACTTTCAACCTCTGCCTGCCCCTGGGCCTGGATTTGGGGTGAGTGTCGCCCAGCCCTGGCCTCCTGCAGGGCAGCCCCAGCACTGACCGATGGCCACGGCCCCGTTGTGTGGCCACCAGGTGGACAGATGTCGTATCTGGGCTGTAGGAGGTGCCTGGGCCTGGAGGGCAGGTCAGGGAGCCCCCAGCAGGGGAAGCTACAGCCTGAGCGTCTGGCTGGGGGCCACAGGCCTGGTGGAACAGGATGGTGTGTTCACTGTGTGGCCTCTCCTGGTCTCCTGACGTTCTGTCCCTGTCCGTTTTCGGTGCCCGACCCCGTGCTGAGGCCTGGCAGGAGGAGCATGGGTGGTTCCAGGGCAGCTTGAGCCAACAGGGCTGGGAGAGCAGGCCTGGGGCTAGACGCCCCGCAGGACAGGCCTGGCCAACCCTCCCCTTCCACTGGGGGGGGTTCAGCTGAGGCAGCGGCGGGGGGCACCCACACCGGGCCTCTTGATGCCTCCAGGGGCCAGGGCTCCTCTGAGCCCCAGAGTACCTCCAGCCAGCACCCCTCCCCTCTGTCTGGGGACTCTGTGCTGCTCTCCCCGGTTGGCCACTGGCTTATTCCCCTGAGCCCTCCGGGAGGCAGGATCCACTGTCCCTCCAGCTGTGGGCCAGCTGGGAGCAGCTACGGTGATGTGCCACCAGCCCGTTCGGCCCCTGCGGCGCCCCTGCCTTGGCTGAGTGCCGCCCTGCCCCTCCCTGCTGGGGCCCTGATTGGAGCGGATGCTGAGTGAAAAGCCAACAGATAAGGTTGGTGAGGCAGGATTCGGGGTTTGGGCTCCCATGGCAGGCAGGATGAGGAACACACCACAAGCCGGGCTGGGCGTTATCTGGGCTGCCTCTGTCTTCCGAGTCGTGTTCGCTCTCCACCGCGGGTGGCCGGTGAGGGGCGTTTGCGGGGTGGGGAGACCCAGGCCGCCGTCTGCGAGACCCTGGGAGCAGGTGGCCAGGTGGTGGTGGCCATGGGGGCGGCCCCCGGAGCCTGATGCTGGTGAAGGGGCACATGGGAGGTGAGCCCCTCGGGGTGGTCACATGGGGGGGTCCGGTTCTGGCTGTATCCAGACGGGGCAACGCAGGGTGTGGTGAGAACCCTTCCCGGCTGCAGCTGGGGCTTTCTTGCTGTGCGCTCTCGTGGGGACAGGGACAGGAAGGAGCTCCGGTGCTCTTCTTACAGGGGCCTGAATCCCATCATGGGGGCCCCACCCTCACGACCCCATCGCCCCCCGAAGTCCCCACCTCCAAATTCCACTCCCTTTGGGTAAGAGCTTCAACATATGAATTTGGGGGGGAGTCACAAACAGGTGGTT